TGTCGGTCGCCACTGTGCAGCGCCCTGTAATTTGAGCTAGGGTTGTCGTGTCTTGCTCAAGGACACACTCCAGTGACCACCCATCTGATCCCCGTGTCACCGACACTTGCTTGACATTGCTTGAGTCAAAACTCGCTACTCACTTAGCCACTGGAGCCCCCAGTGATTTTATTAGAGGCCCTCGCTTCTGTCAATATGTGAAGCGTGCTGACAAAAAGAGTTACTTTTCGGATTCGAGTCCTATCCAAGTAGATACATCACGCATATAGGTGAAGTTTTTATAATGTTTAAATATGAAATAATAACAGGAATGTTATACCTAAAGAATATGGCATTAATTGTAAAAATCTACAAATTTGACCCTAGTGTCGATTTTTGGCAAATATCTCCATTTGTGGATTGCGAGAAGTAACCAATTTTGTCAGCGCACCTCACATGTATTATTAAAAACCCGGAGTGTATAAATGCAAAGAAGTATTGTATGGCTAAGCTTATGGGTATGCACGTAGAGCCAAAATGGCTAAGACACGTTACTCTTATTACTTATATAAACTGGCACCACCAAAGCAGTTATTGATTCGTTTATCAATGTTGATAATGAAAAGAACGAAGCTTTTTATTTGAATGAATGGGTGGGTGAATGAATGCTGGACGGAAACCACTGGTGGCTGGATGGAAACCACTGGTGGCCAGTAGTAAAGCGTTAAACTTAACACAGTGTGTGAGAAATCCCATTCAGGGATGTGTGAAAAAGAAACAACAACTGAGAAACTGGGTGTGTCATTTTGTGATGAATGATTGTCAGGGCGCCAAGGTGTTTGTTATAGTAAAATGTATAATATTAGACATTATATTATTATTATGCCAAATGTATGTGCGTGTGTCTATGTGTGTTTATGTTTGTAGGGGGGAATGAGAGAGAGAGAGAGAGAGAGAGAGAGAGAGAGAGAGAGAAGGGGGGAGGGGTGACAGACAGACAGACAGATAGACAGACAGACAGACGGTAAATGAGTAAGTATGGCTTTGTTTTTGTTGTTTGTTTGTTGTTGTTTTTTTGGGGGGTGGGAGGGTTCAGCTATTTGTTTGTTTTGTGTGTGTTTGTTTATTTTTGTACGTTCAAGTATGTGTGTGTATGTGTGTGTGTGTGTGTGTGTGTGTGTGTGTGTGTGTGTGAGCGTGTCTGAGTGTGTGTGTTTGTGTGTCTGTGTGTGTGTGTGTGTGTGTGTTTGTGTGAGGGGAGGGGGGAGGACTGAGTGTTTGTGTGAACGGGGCATTTCGTGCCTGAATCGGACTAATTAGCCACCTATGGACACAGCAGACGATGACGTCAGATCCCAGGAGAGGTCGGAGGTCCTCATTGACCGGGACGGACGAGCAAACATGATTGGCCGGAGAATAGATCTGTCTACATAACGCGGATTGTGGGCATTTTCCGGAGAGTCTGTGGTTTAAGGTGGGGTGGGGGGTGGGGGGTGGTACATTAATTATGTGTGTGTGTGTGTGTGTGTGTGTGTGTGTGTGTGTGTGTGTGTGTGTGTGTGTGTGTGTGCCTTTGATCAGTGTGTTTAAGTAAAACCCCTAAAGAAATGTGTATAAATGTGTATTTAATTAACACAATAGCTAAAACAGAAAACGAGAAAAGAACCCCCTCCCCAATTAAAAAAAAACACCAAAAAAAAACGAATAAAATTTCTCAACAAACAGAAAAAGTCGGTTTCTTCGATTCCACCATTTCTGAGACAGCGTGGTGGAATCAGGCTCTCGTCAATTATTGGGCATGTAGAGTTATCGGTATCATCTTAAAGCTTGTTCACTTGTCTTTATTTGGATGGGTAAAAATATCCATTTATCTTGGATACAAGTCGAAATATTTGCAAATAAAGGAGGTGGGGGTCACCTGTTTTCAGAGTTAAAATTAGTGAGAAAATGACCACCAAAGATCAGTTATTTCCTTAGCTTAAGAGTCCGTGGTAACTGAACATTAACATCTTTTGTGCCTTTAATCAACGTTATTCAGAAAAATCCAAACAGAAATGAGTTCTTTAACGGCTATAAAAGGAGTTGAGCCCTAAAACAAAAATTTGATAAAGATTCACAAACCTGTGGAAAAATGCAAGTTTCTTCACTTTGATTATTTTGACGAGAGCCTGATTCCACCACGCTGCCTCACATATAGACGAGCGCCTGATTTCCCCACAATGCCACACACATAATATACATATAAATACATATAAAAATAACACTGATCGCAATTTCCTATCTGTACGGCATTCCGGAAACTCTCTCTTGAAAACAGAAGAAAAAAACCAGGTCGGAAAAAATGAAGCAAAGAAAAGAATATCTGCCGTTATAGAATTGAATGTCTGGGAGAAAGGGGGAGCAATTTAAAGGCCGTCTTCACACATTTAGAAACGATATCTGTTTTGTTGGAATATGCATATCGCCCACTTCAAACACGCACAAATGTGGCTGTTTCTTTTCATCCTCCGCTCGAAGAAGAATTACAGAAAAAAAACCAGCCAAAAGAAGAATAAAAAATCCGCCAAAATAAAAAAAAATTGAAATCATGATGGGAGACAGCTTAGAAACAGTTGTTTGAACGGAATCTTCGAAAATCTGGGTCTCACTTTTATTTTGTAATGGCATAAGGGTTGGTTGGCTCAGTGAAGACAAGTGTGTGTGTGTGTGTTTGTGTA